CTACAAACTTGAATTATTTGTATTTCTGATTAACTTGACAAAGACGACTTCGTGCTTGGAATTTTTCTTAATGTAACAAAAGCATTTGACAGTGTGGATCACAATATTTTGTTAAATAAAATAGATATGTATGGCATTAATGATGTGGCAAATAATTTAAAAATTTTAAATAATATAATAATAATATAATATTTTAATAATTTCATTAGACATTTTTTTGGAGAATCGGTGCAACGTGTACTAATTAATGACACTTATAGTGATAATAAAACTTCTAAATTTGGGGATCCACAAGGAACAGCCTTAAGGCCATTACTTTTTATTATTTATTTTAATGATTTAATTTTTCTAGAATGTGATGGTACTATTTTCTGTAATGCAGATGATACCACAAATCCTAATATCTGATCCTAAAATATGTAAATTGATTCCAAAAGCTCGTCAGATTATAAGTCTTATCAATGAATGGTTTATCTGTAACTCACTCGAGATTAATTATGGAAAAACATGTTATATCCTTTCCTCGATTTCGAAAACAACAGTGTTTTGACTGTAGTGAATTTATAAAAGTTCATGATAGAAATTGCAATAGCAGAAAAATAATTTTTTTTTTTTATTTCGATTGATAAAACTAAAGATAAGTGTAGTTGTGAGAGTATTAAATTAATGCATTAAGTGAAGCACCCGGGAGTTACCATTGATCAATTTTTAAAATTAGATATTCATATTGCAATACAGGTTAAGAAAATAAGGACTCTATTCTATAATTCAAATCTCTTCGCAGTTTTTTATTACCTTATATAATGCGAATGTTTTTTTGTGCTCTTGCACACGGTATACTCTTATGGGATATCTGTCTTGGGAGGCTCTTATGATTTCCGTTTAAAACTGCTTAATACGACTGCAAATAAATTACTAAGAATTACTTTTAAAAAAACGGTATCGCACTAGCACCAAAACACTTTATAATGAATATAACCTTTTAAATTGAAACAATTACATGTTAAAGAAATCGTATTAAATGTATATATATTATACTGATTTGAATGAAAAATAATGTTTAACCATAATTACAATACCCTCAAAAATAGTAAAAATATACTTAGAACTAATAAATGCATTACCAAATTTGGTAAGAAAAACCCTTTAAATATTTAATGAATCATTTGTTTTTGGATTTATTATGAAAAAACTATTTTGCTACAGAACTATTTTGAACAGCGCGTGACCCTAAATCAAAACCACGATGGGTGAGATTGCTTCAAGAATGTTTAGTATTAAATAAATGTAGGTAAAGTGTCCCCCGCGTTCGGAGACTATAAGGTCATTGTTGTATAATATATACTACATTAATATTATACTATTGTATAATAAATGTATTTATTCAGAGCTGTGTTAAGTTGGAACGGACAAAAAACACTATTGCCCGGGGTGCCTTAATTGGTAAAAATTAATATGAGGATGACCGTAAATTGGTTATGGTTCTAGGATTGTTGACAAAACACGTAAATGTTTCGAACCAATCCCATAATACGATTGTTTTTCATTATCTCTTGCATGGATAAAACCAATCATACAACTGACTAATATAATTTTTTTAAAACATAGTTGAATTGTTCTTTTATACAATGCCGTTGATTCACATTTTATGTGATATGCACAATGCACATATATCCACATATCAATATGAAACATTAACGAAATACAAGTGTCAAGTGAACTCGAAACATTGTAGGATGAATAACGACGATGACATTACGTATGTACGCGGGCAACCGATGAATGTGTGTGCACTGTGCACCATCCAAACTCGATAAAAAATAAAAGAATTTCTATTAATTATGTATAAAATATAAAAACATAAAATATGTATATATTTATCCATATTGTATAGGTATCGGGAAAATTGCTGTTTACAAAGTGAGACGAGTGCACTTTACCACCATCTACCATCATCAGATGTGTTTTTTCATTTTTAATTACGAGTAAATGCGAAATTGCTTACCGTGAACACTGCGATGGCAATTATAATTTTTCGGCCGGAATTAATTTCCGCACTGATCGAGGTAGTAGAATTCTGGCAGAACATGCAAATCGAGTCTTTTTGCTTTAGACGAAGGGGATAGTTTTTAGTAATCCATTATATTTATGGATTATCAAACATTTAAGTTACAAACATGTAATATTATACCTAAGCGCATGAGAATAGTGGCATCATATTATTGTGAGTCCAATAATTGGATATTTGATAAACCGGATGTCAGAAGATGATTAACGTTGACCAATATAAAAATATTAAGTATAGACTCTCCGAAGCAGACTTTTAAAAGAATAAGAACACTGAACAGAACATGTGAGTAATTGAGTTCACTGAAAAGTATTGTTTAAACGTGAATGATGAAAAAAAAAACGATCTTCCATTGACATTTGGCAAGACATTTTGGGATATCTTATAAATTACATTATTTTAAATAACTTTTTAAGTACCTGTTAGGTATAGTATTATTTATGTCTTATTAACTTACATGTATAACATACATTTATACATTTCAGACGTGTGTGACTATATAATGATTATCTTATTTTGAATTATGCAGTAGCTATTAATTGAATACAAATAATCAATAAAGGGAACACACACCTTACGTAGGTCAGAATTATACAATGCATATGGCATAGATTACATAATTAAAGGAAAATAATCAAAACCCACTTACGCGTTATTAAACCAATTTCGTAAGTAAAGTGAATAGTGAATAGGTGGGTTTATAGGTACCTACTACAGAGTACGTGTAATTATAATTTATATTGATATATGTTCTTGTTTTTCTCTGAATCGAATTTCAGTTTTCGTTTTTCTAGCAAAGCGTATTACATTGTATACATCAGTGTTTACAATCAATATGGAATAAAACTGTTTAAAAAAAAATGAACGCAATCATCACATCTCATGATTTAATATTGATGTTCAATAAATAAATATTATGATTATCTTAAACTTTTTGCTTGTATTCCCCGTGGAATCCGATTATTGGTGCCGCTTCGCTGTACATTATATAATTTTAAAGTTTCCTTTGGAACGTAAATCATAGTTAATGAAAATTTAATATAGGAATTCTGAATAGTAACGAATGGTATTGTCCCATAAAGAATATCTTGTTTCACAACGTTGATGGTTATATTGACTTTCGATGTCAGCAGTTTTTCCTTGCTCTAAGAAAGTATTGAAAAAATCAAAACATGACAACTCATGCTTAAGTGTAATCAACTTTTAATCGATGTACAAGACTGTCAAAGACTATTAAATCACTCCTTTGTCCCAAACAAAATATGCACAGACGAAATTGAATATAAAAATAATAAAAATATTCTTCAAAAACAAAAACATAATTTTAAAATCAATACGATTCCCGATTCCCATATCCCTTAAATCATAAACATATCGCAAAATGCTGAATAAGTCCACAACACACATACTTGTATTAATATGAATGATTTCTTTTTTCTAATCTTTACTTTGTTCATAATGTTTCTTGTGCAATTTAATTTTTTTCGTTGTTATTATTCAATTTTTAGTATGGTTTTGAGTGAAATATGATTTAAACTAAAAAGAATCAAGTGTAAACACCTGCAATATTGCTAAAAGTTGAAAGGAAAGATTGATTTCATGTATTATTGTCATATTGAACATTAATAATTATTTATTGTAGTATTTTTGTTTGTATTGTCTGTGACTGCAATGCCATAAACAATATGCTGTGTCGTAATTATTTTTTATCATTAGTTTTGGTATCAGTTGTGAATAATGCAAGTGCAATATTCTACTATTTCACGTACTTATTGCATCCTAATGTACTTGGTAAACATATTTTTGCAAAATACTCGCAGTTTACACGTCTATAATTTTCTGGTACAAGATGCTCTCATTTATATGTTATGATCAGATAATAAGATTCATATCGGATTCACGTGTTGCTTACCACATTTCACACGAATAGTGGAGATAAGCAAAAGATAATTTCAGATGTGTCCCCTTCGAATACAATATAAACACAGATGAGGGTTGTCTATGTTTAGTCATCAACGGCACAATTTATGCATGCAATAGTAAAGAAACTTTTATAGTAGGTAACCAAATCTTAGGTATCTAATCTACCTATATCATTTCCAGTAAACTGTCTACAAAGAAAGCGAATTTGTTTCTGTTTTCTAGTAGTCATTGATAATTTAATTCACTAATTCATGACCTAGTATTGTGTATTATAATAACACTAAACACTATAACGTAATGGCAAACTTATAAGGCTGTAGTCTTTACCTTTTCTGTGCACTCGTCGTTTACAAAGGTCCCAATCTACGTACGTGTAAACATATAACATGGTATTATTATTCAAATTTTAAATCAATAATTTCTTGTAAATTTATATAACTATTTTAGCTATAAATATCATAGAATATATGCAAAATCAGAAAACGAATTATTCTTGACTGTTATTTTTTCTTCAAATCAAAATAAATCACTTAAGGCTCAAGGTTGAAAATGAAACGATGCCAATGAAATTTTGTCTCCCATTCCAGTGAAATTATTTGTTCCGATATAATACACGGTATCAACTCCCCCTCTCCTAAGAAGGCATCGGGCAGTAGATAAGCGCAAAAGTATTATAATTAAGGTGGAAACTAAAATATAAAACATAATTTTCAAATCTTGTAGAATTGCCGAAAATTTAAAAACCTGCATCGGGCCCCTTGATTAGAGTTTATTTTGTACATTTCTAAATTATGGAGAACATAATATTGGCTATTAGCTAGTATTTTTAGCATATTTTATTTAAGATTTAAATTTACCTATAAGTATAAATATTTATTATAATTTTAATTTCAAATCGATTATTTCATTATTATAATGACATGCAATTAATGTGTATATTATGTGATGCTTATTTTTTATATTTTTAAACTGTCATTACCCTATACTGATTTATACATTTTTTTTTCAGTAAGTTTACTATCGATGTGAGGCTACTACAAGGTAACAAGTTCAAATCATGGTATTATTTCTACGCATTTTCATATGCATAAGTTGTTTTGTCTTCAATACGTTTACCTTTTGTACAAGTACTGTTAAAACTGAAACTAGTTTCCTGACAACCGTAAAATTGGCTGCAAGTGTTAATACCGAGGTTCCATCTGTGGTGTGGAAACAAAACAAAACAACAAGCGATTGCAGCTTCGAATCTGATCGTAATAATAGTTTGGCACGTTGTGATTCAAAGGCAGAAAAAAATGTTTCGAAACATTTGGCGACTGTATTAAACAAAACCTTAACCACGACAACCAAAACCATCGCAAACCTTAACAAGACAAATTTTGTGGCGACAAACCTAACAACTGCTAAACCGAAAACCTCAAAATCCGTCGCCACTACAACTAAGTTGCCCAATGCCACGAAACCCGCCAAAACCGTACAGAAAAACAATTTTAAGTACCGCGAAGGCACGGTTTGGCCTAAGATCGACAAAAGGCTAAGCGACGCCTTGCACAAAACGTCCAATGTCAACACATCGAATCTCACAGAGGAGATCGTAGTCATGTCGGACTTCAAGGCAAAATATCCAATCAACGAGTGGAAGGAATACGGGTTCTACACGGACGATTACATGCAGTTAATCAACAGTCATTGGTTCAAATTCAGGCCGCCTAATGCCACGTCACACTACATCCTCGGATTTCTGTACGCCGTCATCATGGTATTCGGTTGTTTCGGGAACTCACTAGTGATTTTCATGTACATCAAGTTAGTAATGATTGTTATGAGCAACACTATATAATCATACACAGCACCTAGATTAAAATTTATAATATCGCTTAACTTGCGAACAAACAACTTTGCACTAGATATTATATTATATTGATCCAACCTATGTTTTTTCAGATGCAAATCATTGCAAACGCCCGCCAACGTGTTGATAATGAATTTGGCAGTCAGCGATTTCATTATGCTAGCGAAAACGCCGGTTTTCATCTATAACAGTTATCATCAAGGTCCTACGCTAGGAAAATTGGGTAGGATTCTACAACAAATAAAACATAATATTATATATTATTTATAACGATGTGATGTCATTATTAATTTTGATATCTAACTTTCGTTTCGGATTTTTCCTTTGTAGGCTGTCAGATCTACGGATTTTTCGGAGGCTTGACGGGAACCGTGTCCATCATGACGTTGGCCGCCATATCGTTGGACCGGTATTATGTGATAGTGCACCCTCTGAACGCGGCCGTGAAAACTACCAAACAGCGGGCCAGGGTGTGGATAGGGGTGATATGGATATATGGGTTTTTGTTCTCCGTCATACCGGTAATGGACCTGGGATACAACCGATACGTACCGGAAGGATACCTGACTAGTTGCAGCTTTGACTACTTGACGGATGACAAACAAGAGAAAGGGTTCATCTTGGTGTTCTTTACAGCGGCGTGGTGCATACCGTTCACCACGATATCGTACTGTTACATTAAGATACTGAGAGCAGTTTGGATGACCAGCGAAATGGCCGCCAGCCGGTTCGGGCAGGAAGAGGAGAAGAGGAAGACGGAGATAAGACTAGGATATGTGGTGGTTGGGGTCATCATGCTGTGGTTCGTGTCTTGGACACCGTACGCAATGGTGGCTCTGCTGGGAGTATTCGATCGGAAAGAGTACATCACTCCGCTGAGTTCAATGATCCCGGCGTTGTTTTGCAAAGCTGCCAGCTGCATGGATCCTTGGATATACGCCATCACGCACCCGAGGTTCAAAAACGAATTGACAAAGCTGATGTCTAGAAAAAAGACCCGGAAATTAGAGAGGGATTATGGCATGAAGAAGAACTGGGGAGCTCAGTCGTATTCCAACAAGAGCGGCGTCGGTATCAGGAACCTCTCTAGCTCCGAAGATGAGTGCGTAGAAGAGGTGATCGTCGTGATCGACCCAGATGAAAAGAAGATGAAACGGCAGGGATCGACTTCCAGTCACAAGACCGAAGAGACCAAAGCGCTGGAGACAAAGTTCCCACCCACCAGGCAGGAGAGTCTCAAATACATGCCACCCAGTTGGTACAAACTGCCCAGGACTACGTCTAAGAGCAGCATTATGTTAGACCCAAAACTTACAGGAGACGATAATAATAAGTGATAACGTTCTTGTCGAGCTTGTCGACGAGCCTGCGATGAGTTTGAAGATTTTAAATGATAAATACTGTGATTCAAATGCTAGTCTATATATATTATTATTATATTATGTACAAACATAATATTATATAATCTGATCTCACACTTTGTGTTAAGGGAAATTTACAAACATGTGTTTACGCATAACGTTGTCGTTATGGTCGTAAATGTTTTAGGTGCTTATTTGTACACGTTTGTCGTGTATACTATTGAAATATAAATCCCACACACGTGGCTGCTAACGCATGTTGACGTGATGCACACCACCACCATATGACGGTACGTAATTCGATGCGTCAATAGTAAATCATAATATTTATCTTGCATTGATATGATGATTGAATGCGAGGTCAGGTGCACTCGATATAAAAATTATGTACGTTCAAATATTATCTGTTTGCATGTATATATTTATAACAAATTAACATGACGTGTGATCTTTAAGCATATTACTGCAAAGCTACCGTAAAACCATTATTTTATTATTATTAAATATTGTTTTTATTAAGTTTACAAGCACTATTTTTATTTTACCATATTCCATAAGGGTAGTTTTTGATTAATGTTGAACAGTTTACAACATAATCTCACTTTACACAATTGTACCAAAAACACGAAAGCGGTCAATAAATAATATCCACACACACACACACACACACACACACACACACACACACACACACACCACACACATTGAGTACACACTTTCTTAGGTTTATATTTACCATAATGTACCTATTTTACTTTTGAATCACATATGACCATTGCTCATGCGTGTTGTAAAATATTTCGAAGGTTGAATAACTATTCTAGGGTTAAAAAATAACACAATCAAAACTAGGTACTCAAGGATTTGAAAATATAATTATTTTTAATAGAAAGACATCGATATGTAGGTAAAAAAAATCTACCAGATGACCTTATAATAGTTGGTTACATGGGTTAATATAATGCTTATAGTATTAACCGTGGTTTATCCACGACGGCCAACCACGGTAACACTCTTTTGTGAAACATGTGTTAAAATTAAATGTTCTTCATGACGTATATTAAATTCACGTTGATAAAATTGGTTTTTTTCCCTCAACAATCTCTTTTTAATTCAAATCCGTGTCAAAATAAGAAACTGATAATTTTTAATTGTTTTTCTTTTTTGTAATATTTGAGTTTAACAATGCAGAACTTCACGTAGGTGCTGCATTAGTATTTAAAAATCTGTTACCGATATCTTTACTTCCGGTAAACATGATACACATACATAGGTAGGTACACCTAGAGTCCTAGACGGTGCACTATATTGTATTATACGTGGTTAATAAAATTATAAAATAATAATAATAATAATGGGCTAGTTATGTGAATTGTGAATTGTGAAATTATATGATAAACATTGAGATTTGTGCTTAGGTATACTTGCCGTTGTGCATCGAATTTATGCATACCTACACATTACGATCGTAATGTGAGGTAAATTGAGGACAGGGTGATTAACTTATTTAAGCATATCCTAATAAATTCGTTATCAAGTGAACAATTATTTTTTTACTATATATTTATAAATGTCTAGTTGTATATAAGTTCACGCCAGTATAATAATCGGTGCAATATAATACGAAGTTTTCTCGTTCTTGGAAAGCTTACAAACCGTTATTTTGTCTCACCGGTAAGTTATACGATCTTCGGGTTGGCACATACACTCCAGTGAATTCCATTAGTAGTTACATTACAGTGTTACACAGATATTTCCATAAATTGTTTCGCATCGCTCCGACTACCCAGTATATAGGCAAATCAGAACAGACATAATCAATTGCCATCAATGTATAATAGACTTTATATTAGGTATGATGAACTTTGTACCTATATATACACACTATTATTATTGGTGCAATGGTACTCAATAATCTAATTAAATCCTGAAATTTTTTTATACCTAAATATATAACACTTAACGTACCGCAAAAAAAAATATGGATTTTATTTATCATGTTATATTGCTGTAATCACAACTTTCATAAAATATTTCTGAAACAAATACCAAAATAATAATATAACATTAATACATAAATTCTACACTTTAGTTTTAAGGATATATTCTATGTTTAAGAGAGGGATATAGACATGTACATAATGTGTATGTATATATATTACTATCTTAGAAAAAAAGACGAAATAAGAAATAATTTTAACAGTTCGGATAAAATAAAGAGTACGGTTACACTATAGGTACATAAAGTAATTTGAACACTAATATTATAGATCCTAAAATAAAATGTATCATACACCTAAAGGTTATAAATACGTAGCTTCAATCTGATAGATGGTTAATAAGATGGATAAGACATCACTCGAATAAATTAAGCAAATTAATAAATGTATGTACCTATTGTTGTAATAAATTTAAGAATACCAACATACCCAGTACTTACATAATTACATATTAAATGGATTTTACAATACTGTTCGTTGCATTAATTAAATCGTATATATTGACGTTAATATGGTAAATATTGTTCACACTTAATGCAAAATCAGCGTATTCAATTATGTATTCTTATAGTTACTAGAAACATTTAAAATATTGAACAGAGTAAAATATACGATGAAATATAATATGCTTGCAATTATTTGAACAGTATAACACAGAACTTATTTTATATTATAATCGCTATAAATCTTATACATTTACTTTATCAATTGATATTCTTAAATTCTTTATGCAATAATAATGGGAAAAAATTATAAATATAATATATACATATTATTCGCCACTATTGGTATTGATAGAGTGGCAATATTTGACTGTACTTTGCAGTCAAATTATAAAAACAATACACTAATATGATAGGTAATTGTCAACTTATTTTTATTTATTCAAAGAAATGCAATAAATAAGTTTAAAATTAACTTCTTTATATAAAATTAATTTTGAGTCATTTGATATGTTATGAAGTATGGACATCGAATAATTTGAATAAGAGTAATGATAATATGCATTTAAAAAAATTATGCACACCCGTTTATACAGTAAAAACTAAAAATACGATTCATCCAAATTATTTAACCTTATTAAGTATTTTGACAAAAGCCACTGAATATTATATTAAGGAAAACTAAATTAAGTTTAATAACACAAACTATTCACATAAAACCTAATTCAAAAATACAATTATCTATACAAAATGGCTAACTGGTAAAATTTAATCTTAATAAATGTAAGGAATATTTTAGTACATCAGTACATGTGTTTCTAGTCTTTTAGATACCAAGATAAATATAAGTATGCAAGTACACGCGTTTCATAAATAAATTCACGTGATAATAAGATAGTTTATGATCAATTACGACCGTATTCAGTGCTCGAATTGGTGGGACGCAGGAGGGGGAAACTTCTCTCACATTTAAAAAATATATTTTTAGAGTGCCCCTACTATTAATTTTCTTTAGAACATGGGTACGTACTTTTTTACTAAATAACATGTTAACATGCATTATTTTTGTAATTTTTATTTCTCAAAACTATATTGCATTATACAACTTGTTATTATTATGATACTGCATTACAGCTATGCAATATAATTAAAATATAATTCTTAAACAATAGAAATTAGATACAATTAATAATTAAAATTATTTATAATGAAAAAAAAATATATTTATTTTAATTGCTCATAAGTGGTCGTTGCTACTATGTCATATTAATAAAATAATAAAAATACTGTTTTATTTCTTTGGGAATTGACGATTGAGTGATGTGACCTGTGTGGGGCTTCGCAAATTAGGTTGAGTTTGAGCCAATCATTTCAAGGGAAGCTATTTTTCAGTCTAAGAGTCACTTCTTACATTTTTAAATTCGAGCACTGTGGCCTATGATATGAGTTTCATGCACAACACCATAGCATAGATACAATTGAACATCACAAACAAGCACAAATAATTTGATTGAAAAAGTAAAAAATCACTTGTGGTTTTAATAATATAAATCCATTAATACAATGCAGTCCAGTCGAACGAATCTTTTTAAAATATTTGTTTAAACGAAGGATTGATTACTGTTTGCACTGTATACAAAATTGAAAAGGTCATAATTTAAAAAATAAAAATAAAAATAACACAAATAATATTAATATTATTATAGTATGTAATTCACTCAAAATGTTACAAAAACATAATTATGTAGTACAAAATGGGCACAAACAACAATGTTTAAGTTGTCGATTAATAGTAAGTAGTTACAAAAAAAAATAGCAGTCGAAACATTAATTCATATTATTACAAAATATGTAACTATTATTCATAGTGGAAAAATACAAAATATCATTATATACCTACATAATTTAATACTTTAATACTTGTCTTTATCCTTGTTCGCATCACCATTTGTTGCCGGTTCATTCGTAAGCACTGGCTTGTATTTCCTTGAAAAAATCATTAAATAAACATACATATATTAATCTATAAATATACTATAATAAATGTTAATAATATATTGTTATTGATGTAAAAATAAATCAAATGTATCACCTATGAATAAAACAAATACAATATGTTTCGTCCATTACTCGTGTTTTTTTTTAATTTAATTATTTAAGATACTTTAGTTTAAGTCTATTTTTAAGTCAATATATTTACACTGTGCATAAATCCTAAAATTTCTATTTCCCCCGATTCTGTATTTAATTTTCCGAGAAGCAGCAGAATAAAATAGAAATGAATATAGTTTTGGAAATAATATAATCCTATAATGTTTACTAAATAAATAAAGTAAGGCCATGTATATATAATAAATAATAATTATAGGTATCAAGTCATTCATCTAGTGTTATGGTCATCTTGACTCTTGAGAGAATATTATTGTCTCCATAGTTCATATACGCTAAAATAAGTATCCATACGATTACGGTATGTATGTATAATATAAATATTATAAGTTTTTTTTTTTTTAATTTTTGGATCCGTGTTTCAGTTTGTTTTTAGCATTAAAATAAAGAATCTGTTTAGAAGTCCAAACGTACGAGAATAGTGTGCTAAATTGTAATCCTTATATATTCCGTCCAATAATGATTGGCTGTTGAAATTCATCAATACATTGATTAGTAATATTCAACCACAATATACCTACTAACAATTGAAGTATATCTTTAAACACATCCTTTAGAGCTATAACTTACGCATAAGACTTTTTAAACATAAACACATTATAAACATGGGTATTTTATCAACATATATGACACATTGCACTATTGTGTAGACAAAATAATAACACGATAACTTGGTGTTTCGAAATCCAATGAATTAAATAAAAATTTAATGGTGCATACTATTTTATATCTTTCTCTGTATCCAACCGGCCGTGGTGGGTTGAGTTGACACGCATAAATTAGCATATTTGAATCAATTAGAATAACTGAAAGTAAATTGAGTATGGATACACCAAACACAAAAATTTTTGTTTATTTGCGAATTCATGAATTCATAATATTTTAATATGGATATAACCTACGGATACAACATAATATGAAATATAAATTGGTTTTTTTCCTCGGAATTTTTTTTTTTTAATTTTGTTGTTAACTTTATCGAATATCACTAACTATTACACCTAGTCCTATTGCCGTACCTACAATGCACATTTTAGAGAGAGTTAAAAATAAATCCCGCTCGATGAATTCAACTTAATTTCTTTGCATTCCAAAGTACAATGAAGTACTTTCATTCTATACAGAAGGTTGTTAAGTTTACTCACTTTTCTGACATTTCAATGAGATCTTCGATGGTGTCTGGCAGTTTTCTGTTTAGCGTCTCGGGCAACACAAGCGACCACACTCCGACCAACAATGCAAGACCGCCATACACAACCAACGGCATATTGACCCACATTTCAGCCTGAAAATTAAAAGGAAATTGGTGACCTGTATAGTATTATAATATGCAACGCGTAAACGCCGTGCAGTGCTCTCTAACTGCACTTTAATGCACCTTCGTACCGTATTGTTGATGTATGGCGCCACAATTCCTCCGATCCTGGCGAAAAACGATCCTACCCCCAAGCCCATATTCCTCACCACGGTCGGAAACTGTTCTGCGGTATAGACATAAACGGCTCCGTATGACGCAGTTATGGCTAGCTTAGCCATCATCGCACAGAAGATAACCATCCACGTATTAGCTAGAATTAAATACCATTTGTAAGTGACATTTTTAGTTTGTCAATCAAACTAATATAAAACAGAGCAGATGACACATTAGATATTAAAGGTAATTAGTAACTTTTAGTGATAAAATAAAATAAAAAGTTAAAGTAATCTCAAAATGTTAATAATTATCGATTTCGTTCATCAACACATATAAACTGTACATATTATTTACTTTTAGGCACAGCTAGCGTTGCAAGAAGTGATAATCCGGCCAATATTAGGAATCCAGATATATTTATCTTCCTGCCCCATTTGTTAAGGGTCAATAACAAAAATATATAAGCCGGAAACTCTACCAAACCGGCTAAATTAAACACAAAATATGGATTTCCCCCAAGATTGGAAGTACTCCAAGACAGACCATAATAGGCAGTGCTGTTTACAAACCTAAAAAAAATAAAATAATATTCAATTACATTTATATTTTTGTTTTAAGATGCATAATATTAATTCTAATATAAAGTTGTGTACGAACGGATTTTGCTATTTTGTATGCAAACAACAAATTATTTTACTAAACTAACTTATATTTATAACAGAAGAATATACATCATATTTATTTCGTAATATTCATACTATTTATAGTCATGTTACATTGTTTTGTTATAACATCAATTTTTTAAGTCTTTTTTAAATTTAAATATGTAAATAAAAGTATAACTGTGATAATAACTGAAAATGTTTCTGCTCATATAGATGAAAGAAACAGGAAAAAAATGAATATTTTAATAATTTTAAAATACGTTACACGCATAATTAAGCAAACATAAGCAGACACCCAGTTTTTTAATTTAAAAAATTATAGTTTTTGTGGGCTCAGTAATTCATATTTCATGATAATATGTACATTCAAGCATTGACTATTGAGTGTCATTTTAAGAGCTGCAAGGTATTCAATTGTTGTCACCTGATCTGATATCGAGAGATATACACAGATATCTCCTGAAAAAATTTATAATGATTGAAAATACGATGACAATATTATTTGAAAGTTACAATGTATATGTTGAGTGAGAATGATTTTAAAAAAAAATTTTATTTTGATTGTTAATTTCTTGTAAATAATATGTCTGTACATTTTTAGTTTCATCATATTTCAATCATTATTAAACAATTAAAATGTTTGATTTCAATAAATTATATTTCAAACATAATTATATTATCAATCATAAGCGTACCTAATATAATGGTATATGGCAAATATATCATCTTCATAATATAAATATTACTGTATAAACTCTTGATAGTAGGTTTATAGGTTAATTAAATTAGATCTCATCAATCTAGTTAATTAGCATCAACTGTCATTACCACAAAAGCATTATGATGATAGATCTTTTCAAAATCACTGGATGTTTGAATAGATCGAAAAACGACGCTTTTGGTTGAGTATCGAGCTGTACTGTGGACTTTTTCTCAGAATCGCTTTCCAATATTTCAATTATGTCTTTGTCTGAAATGTCCACACTGTTCACCCTGCACACTTTCTGGATAATTTTTACGGCTTTCTCCTGTTTATCATTGGCCAGTAGCCAACGCACCGATTCTGGTATAAACCTTAAAAGTTAAAAATTAGTTTTAGTAAACTTTGGTGGTACGAAACCAATTAGTGCACTACTGACCAATAATAGGTCGTGTAAAACAGAGTTGGTATGGTAATAGCCAGTTGAAAGTATCTCCAGTTACTGCGGAAGGTGAACGCAAATGCGGATGTTAAAAGAAAACCGACAGAAAAGAACATTTGTATGACAACGCCAACCACCATTCGATATTTGGGGCTGACAAATTCCAAACCTGTAAATAATCGTAATTCTATAATAATTTGAAACAGAAACATCTCACGTTTTGGAAACGTATATTTAAATACACGTCATTTTAATGCAACGCGTTTATGTACATATAAATATAATATATATATAAATAAAAAAATCGAAAAAACGTAAATAATTATCAATAAATTATGAATGGAAATAGTACAACAATAGATGTTATATTACGTAATAAACATTAAAATTAATTTAATGATTGCTTTATGCGACGATATGCAAAAAAATATTATAAAGAATTAAAAATTTATTTATTAATAGGACATTTTTCACGATAAACAGTTTTTACCTGTTGACTAAACAGTGAAATATTTATTAGGTCACATTTTAATGTCCATATAATTTATATATAGCCATTTGCAGTGTGCATTGTTTAAGTGTATAACAACCACTCAGTTTCGTATTGAATATTGCTGTCTAAATATAAGTAAGAGCTTAGTTATGGTACACGGCCTACCGATGACATAAGCTGCTAGGTATAGCCCTGAAGTAGAAGCTCCCACCAGTACTCTGAGAAATGTAAAGCTCCAGTACTCTTGTGTGAATGCCATACCGATACCGGCGACACCCTGCAGCCAAACAGATATTATAAAAATATTTTTTCTTCCAATCCTGAAAACAATAAAAGTATAGTACACGATTATAGTATAGGCATCGGACGTACGATGATCATAGGTGTACATCAAGAGAGGTTTAACTGAACATTTTCGAATAATTATAACAATTTGCCCAAATCTGATATACATCATCGAATATAAACAGGATATAATATAATATTATCATTACTCTTATAGTTCCAGCATGTTTATTAGTGATCAAAGTCTAAATTATATAATATCCTTTTTTTTTTTTCTTATTTATTTGAAGAAATCTACAATCTATACATGCTTTTTGTACAATAAGTAGGTTTGATATAAGAAAGGTAAGAATAATATGAATAGTTAGATTAGGGAAGATACCCAGTGGTAACACCCAATAAATATCCCTATTTAAATTCATACTTTATTACCTAAAAAACAAGGTAGGTAGTTGTTTGAGTTCGATAAAAATGTACAGATAAGTCATACAATTTGTTTATAGTATTATATACGGACTTATCGATATATTTTACAGTCATCTTAATTCTTAATATTACTTACAACTTACACGCAGTAATTTTATTTCACAATATTTTTCTCTAAAGCACACTTATAAATGATTTATGTCAGATTTATTTATAGCTATAATTTATTATACGTTATTATTAGGTAGGTAAATGCATTAATATTAGATTAATTTATGTTACGTAAATTATCAGATTATACGCTGATAATTATTTAAAAGAAATAAACGTCACAAAAAGTTTTGCTGACTTCGATTTTACTAATGAAAATTTTAATAATAATACATAAGTAGCAGGTGCCTACTTTAGGTATATAATAAAATAAATTATACTTTAAGTAGGATCCAGTAGTCCTGTCCGTCTATTCTATTTTATACGTATATCTATGACTTATTGTATTTAATGTAAAAATATTGTAAATAATCGATGTCTTAAAAAAAAAGTATATTATATCATAGAATATACAGTGCGTAAGTTCCACTTATAAGTATGATGGAATATATTCCACTTGTCCACATAGTGTGCTATATAAAATAATGTACATTTAAATTGCATACTATCACATTGATTATGGTACATAAATGTATACCACCTATATATACGAATATAATTATATAACATACAATTTGTTTCGTATTATTCGTGTTAAGTGTTACGATTTAAGTTACTATTGATTAAACTATTATCTAATAACTCACCGGTCCGACAAATATCCAAATATTATCGATCCTAACATGACACCGACCATGAGCATAGAGTCCGCGGTGCCTTTGTACCAAGCTCTGTCACACACCAAGTTGAACTGTATATACGAAAAATTTTACCACTTTAAACCATATTGTAAAAGAATTGGAGCACTTAATAATAATTCACCTCCATCACTGCGGTGTTTTGGTTTGACCCCTTGTCGTATATCCACCGGTGGCAGTTTATGCTCTGGTTCGCCGTCGTATTGGACGAGTAATACGCTTCAGTGAAATTGGTGTCGTACATTTTACACGAAGAAAAATGATCCAACTTATAGTCGAATGGATACGACATGTTCATGATGTTGGGCGGTAAAGCATACGAAGCATTGTCCGGCTCACCCGGTAATTGACATCTATAGAACGAAAAATCAACTAAGTAATGGTTTACATAATAAAGTATAATATAAATAGATTCGTATATATAATATAACACACATATACATACATATAGATTGATAATCATGTATGTATATAATAAGCACATTACACTTCGTTGAAATTGTATGTACCTGTAATCGGTTTTGGCAAGGATAAATACTCCGGACAGCTTATGCAAAGCACACGATATTGCGGGAAGACACAGGAAGAAGTAAATTCTTTTCTGGTACTTCCCGAAATCGCCGATTTTGTGCAATAGGTCGTCGTAAGTCATTTTATTTTTTTCGATACAACTGCCCAAACTACTGTGGTATTTGTGTTGTAATGCTGTATGCGGTCGTTCAGTTCTTTACTATAACTAATAAAAATGTTCATACATATAAATAGGTATATTTGGTTAATTCCCAACACAACGTGTGAATCACTAATAAGATTACAAATATGTTTTACATTGATCGTCAGTACTTAATATTTAACTAAACAAACATAATATAATTAAATCCTTGTTATAAAAAGGATTAATGACCCGTATCTTTAAGTTAGGTCAAACTAAACACATTGCAGATTAGCTTATTGTGTCTAATTAAATACTATAGTATACAGACGTATGTTAAGATTTAATCTTTAGTATAATTTTTGTTTCAGCACTTAAATCATCAACGCGCACACTCACAACCATAAAAACAAATTATTATGTAAATAATATAATATTATTATAAAAACAATATTAAAAATATTATAAACTTATGTTTATGTATATACCACTATGATACTTTTTGTAAAATCGACTGAACAGGTGCAACTTTTTTAAATGTATACACATTGTATGTATTTATTTTTATCCAAACAGCTGATCGGAGTTTGGACAGTGATTGTCTGTATTTATAATGTGAGTTTTTTAAAAATTGAATTGATCCTTATAGTATGCATTATGATTATTATTTGCATTTATGGTACACATTACTATATTGGTAAATTACTTGGGTGTATACTATAACAGTTAATTCGAATCGCAAATAGTACCTATGTATTTTGTATAAAGCACTAACTATAGCGATTGATAAACTTGCAATGAAATCAGACGACCCATCTTCAATATGCATGTTTCCGTGCAAGTAAAAGAGGAAGACATATTTCAAACTTATTCACTCAATATCTCACTTTCTATACATTTGCTTTTGAGTTTTAAATTATACCTTAGTTATTTTTTTAGCGTTGCATTAACTAGCAAACTTAACTGATGCGTTTTCACGAAGATAATCATTTATGCACTACTCGAACGAGAAATTTATCTTAAAATAAATATTATAAATTCGTAAGTTAATATTGTATGCTACAGGTACAAATTTACAACAATTTTATAGGTATCTACTTCCTAGGTAATAGTAACAATGACATTCAATTGCCGCATGCTAATGCATATATGTATAAACACAAGTAGGCGTGTATAATACTAGTGATATAAAATTGATCTTAAGATCATTTTCAGTAAATATAGTCGTCATAACTCTTAATATTATGTTACTCTATGCATTAAGTATAGACTATAGACTAATACAGTACCAAAAGTATAATTTATTACACGGCTAAAGGTCTTTTGGCCAGATAATACAATTAATCGTTACACTTACGGCGCTTACATATCAAATATAGAATAAATCAACAGAAATATTTATATTGTTGTAATAATAATATGATATTGTAAAATGTTGACCGTTACTCGCTGACAGACGTTTTAACTATAAATTGCTGCTCATAGTTGGCGTCGGTAGCGTGTAGACCTAATCAGTGCTCGTTGTCGTAACTTCGTATTTCTGTTACCCAATTAAAAATACAAGTATTCAACGGTTATAGTTGTAAAAAAGAATAATAACAAACGTCATTAGAAAACGCCAGTGTCACATTTCGTTTATATTTTGTAGCAGTAGCACGTAGGTATAAAAATGTAGATGAACGTGAGGAAACGTAAAAAACCTTCCACAGAATACAATATGGTCACAGTAGGTATACTTGAGTAAAAGTATTAAAATAATTTTTAAGTACCTACTCAAATATATGTCTAAAATACTTGTAGAAAAGTGCTTAAACATAATATTTTGAGTACATTCTCAAAGTATAATTAATAATAATGTAAAATTAAATACTTATTTTCAAATAATTTTCTTTCTTATCTTACATAGATAAATAATTTTAAATAATTACTTATTTTAATTAAATCACATAAAAAATGACATACACCAATAAACCTAAAATTATACAAAATTACTAGAAGGTTAATTTTAATTGTAGACATAGTTCACATTTTTATAAGTAATCAATTTAGAGGCAAAAACTATCAGTTTGATTCCAGATACCAGTGAAAAATAGTATACCTACTAAAATTATACATAATGCAAATATCTTTTACGAGATAGACACATCTAAAACGCTAAATCCCTAAATTCTCTTTCTCACGTTCGTTCCCAACTATATGGGTTGGTAACCCTTGTTCTACACATGCATAGGTCTCTGTTCCCTTTTTTATATCAAAAAATTCTTAACATTTTTTTAAAAATTCAATTTCTAGAGTTATTTATTTAAAAATTGAAATATGAGAAAAATCAATTTTGAAATCTAAATGAACTTTGAATAAATGAAAGCAACTTATATTTTCATAAATACAGACAGCATAATATTATTGTAAAATTGTATACAACTACAATGCGGCTAGGTTAGGTTATTATGTCATATGTCATATGGTTTTCACACTTTGATAACTAATGCTAATTCAATAGGTAATAAAGAACACACTACTCGCTAAAATTGCATATATTATTTTCATATATCCACCAGTAACTGCAATGCAGAAGTCAATTTAATAGGCCCACGGTGATTTGATCTTTGTAACGAAATTATAGAACAATAATTAAAAAGTATTTGAAGTATTCCCAGCGACAGATTAATTTTGTTACGAAAATCATCGGACTAAAAAATTGATTTGTACACATCAGTGCATGGTGAATATAATCATATATTGATATAAAAACAATAATAGAGACGATGCTAACGAATAGTGTGTTCTTTATTACCTGTTAGATTAGGTAGCATTAGTTATCTAAGTGCGGAGACACTGAAAACCATACAATTATACAATATTACCTATATTCTGTATTTTTGAAATATAAGTTACTTTTATTATTCAAAATTCGACCGATTTCAAAATTATATTTTTATCCATATTATAAATACACAATTCAATAAAATGGCTATTTTCACATTTTTAGAACAATTATAAGCTTTTCTGTTTAGACCAAGTTAAACGAGAGGCTATTAGTCATATATTACATTGAAAAAAAACTGCATTACAATGTCCGTATTATTAATTTGAATTAGAGCTACTGACTTTCCAATTTATTAAAATACCGATGTTATATTATAAATATATCGATGTACTAAATCTAAACATACTTTCTGGCTTATTGCCTTTTAAAGTTTATAAAAGTAACGGTATTTAATGTAGTATATAGTATATTAGCATCTAACATTAAAGGGTTAAAGTTAAAAAAATGTAGTGAAGCCAGATTAATTCGATTATCATAATTTAAAAAATAAATAAATTCCATTAAAAAAGAAGTTTTCGACTTCGAAATCATAAATTTAATTTTATTGTTGCTACAACTGCGTGATCAATTTTTTGATTCCATTTTATTGACCCGTAAGTTGTCAGTTTGTCACCATTAAAACATACTACGCGTACACTGGTCAACGTCTCGACGACATAATATAGCTTACATCCTGCACGTTTATTATGTATTGTATAATAATATGTTCATGATAAACTATTATATTATACAGGATGATTCACCAAGCACGATCACCCCATTTTTACCCAATAGTGCAGATAGACAAGATCTCAGTATACTTAAAGTCCATTTTATATAAAAATTCTTGAGAGTTTTCGTACCTACTACCTAAGAAGTCTCTAATGAAGTACTGTTGTTTAAATGGAACCCCCCTCCCTTTTCTAAGGTAAATTATTTAACTTATTTCCAACAATTGTGATGTGGCAAAATCAAAATTCAAATGAATAGTTTTTAACTTTGTGTATCAAGGATAAGTTTCGTGTTAATGTGGTTGGAAGACGTGGGGGCTATAGACGCTATTGTGATTTAAAAATGTTAGTATTCTATCATATTTTTTAATTTTTAAAAGTTGTCAAGTATATAATAAATATTAATACCAACTATAAATCTGTTTTATATTTTTAAGAACTTACTCCTTAATATAAACATTTTAATAACTGAGAAAATACTTATTCGAATTTTGAATTAGGCGTTTACCTATACATCAATAATAATGAAAAAAAATGATCAGCTAATAAATGCACAATAAAAACTATCATTTGAAAAAAAGAAGTTTGTATTAATTTTAGTGGTTGTCAATTTCGCGAGGTGACAAATTTTAGGAAGCGCCAAAATGTTGAAGGTGTGTTTTTCAGTGGTGTTTTCCTATGTCAAACAAAATCTAACTTATTGGAAACCTGATTATTAAGAATAAGAAAATATTGTAAACCTGTGCTGCTTTAAATAAATAAATATCTAATAAGCATTAAGTGGAAATATACGTGATTTTTAGGTACTCGATCTTGATATGACCCATAGATACGAGAGATGATTGTAAGTATACTGAATAACCGCCAAATAATAGTATACTTTTGTTAAGGGGATGTCAGCGCAAAATGTGTGTTATCTCTCAGACCCAAGAGCAACATAGATAAAACCCTAGATAAAACGCAATCTCGTAAAATCGTTTTTTTATCATTTTGAGTAATCTTAAAGGAAAATCAACTATTACAAAAATTATAGAGGATATTTGTTAGAGTTCGACATAGGTATCGGTTTCATATTTTATTAATATTTGACTTTATAGTCAACTTGAAAAATAAAAAGTAAAATTTGTAAATTTAAATGGATATCACATTGTTTTGGGGCAATATGTTTTGTACAAATCGGTATGTGTCGTACCTTCAAAAATAAAATCATCTATAATGTATGCAATAGGTTATTCAACTCTAATCATGAAAAAAATGACTTTGAGAAAGATGCGTTTCGTCCGTGTTGAATGTGGGCCAAAGAGAGAAACAAATACTGCGTTGACATCCTCTTAACACGAGGCACAACGCTGAGCACATGCGAATTTATTTTTGAACGACAACCGGGCGCCGTCGATCAATATAACGGCAACGGACTCCAGCGCATGCGCTCCATGTAATTTTACTTTAGTGTTGCAGCTGCAGCACCTCAACAATATGCGGGTAGGTAAATTGCAGGTGTATGTACTTCTTCTATTATTGTAATATTGTAGCACACAACATTCGGAATATCATTGACGTTGGTTATAAATTTATAATATTGTTACGATATTGCTGTAGTAAGTTTTGACGAGGGAATTCGATTTGGTGAATGAATAATAATTATGTAATAATATAATACTTACTAGCGACTGCTGCAGCAGCGATCGAGGAGCCGGTGTAGCGTTTCAGGTGAAATCTCGTGGAAAGGAACGTCGTTGTCGGAATAAGAGAGAGAGAGATAAAACTAAAACCGAAAACTGAAAACCATACACACGTTATAATATTATAATAATACTAATTAATTATAGATCGATATGGTACGATATTTCGTGATGATTATTATTGTGATTGTGATTGTTATTACTAAACGTTAGTACAAATCGATTGACGGGAAGACGGCCGTGAACCGTACGCGGTCGCGCGCACTGCGATGAATGGCATGGCTTACTCCTGTGTGCGGTTTATATGTACCTACCGGCGCCGCCGTGGCACAGTCGCACGATTCAACACATCTGCTGCTCCTGCGTCTATATTTACGTGCGCCACGCGCACTCAACATTAAAATATAATATTATTATATATTTATATTATACAGAGCGATTATTCAACGAGCAAACGGTCATTATTTTCGACTCGGTAAATTTGTTGGTGTTTGAAAACTATTTTTCCCACGATTCGAGAGCCGTCCATTACAATGCGGATTTTTGTAGTTATTGCCGTCAATCCGACCACATTACTTATGTAAATTACCAAGTAGATGTGCACGTTTGATTCATACTCCGAAGTAGTTTATTTTTCTGAGAATTACTATAGATAAAATAGGAATATCGAACAACTAGTAGATGTATTACGTTTAATAATAATTAGTGATTATCATAATAAATTAGACACAAAAGACGAGTAGAGCGGAGTGGCAACTGAACTACTGGTTTATTGTATATTATAATATATCTACTATTCGCTCGACTGGACTTTAAAACAATAATAGTATGTTTAACTTAAAAATTGTGCAAATAATTAATATATGTTTCAAAATGATTGTTTTGCTGTACGTTTGTAATTACTTAAAATAATGCAGAAAAATACATATTTTCGGAAACGAGTAAAATGTATTGACGTATAGTGATAAAAGAATCACCTCGTTTAATATACTATAGCTCTGATAAACTACACGCTGCACACAAACGCGTTTACCGCGTATTTGATATCATAAACTCTACTACAATAAAAATTCCGACACATCAAGTGCATATTGTGAATAGTGTGTATACTGTATAGCGTGTATACACATACGCCTACGTCGCTGGTACGATTAATAAATAGCATGCCACACGCCACTACGGCTCCCACGTGTTTTTTTCGATCGGACGTGATGTTTAATGTTTTATCGTAAAAACCAGCCCAATCGTATTCTTTGTTGACAGACTTTCTCTCTCTCTCTATCTTTCAATGTTTGTCTCTCTCTCTCAATGTTTCACTCACGGCAGCTGCTTATACGTTTGTTCTTTGCTTATACTAACATGAGTATACTATACCTGACTTATGACTCACGCGGAGTACCTACTGTAGAGAGTTTTCAACGTTTCCGTAATTGTATCGCATACGTGTACAACTTCATCGACGGTCGGATTCAACACAAAAAAAAGATCAAAATTCAAAATATTATGCTGTGATATTATACGCCGCTGCAAAGACAAGAATTGCAAAAGTTATAGCCATATAGGGCTTAGCTTGAGCCTTGAATTCTAAACGATGCACCAAGAATCCCATAACAGTATTATACTCGTACTATAATATTACACCCATCATGATAGTAATGTTTTCTTAAATAATTCGTACTTTTATATGTTTTCAGTGTACATATAAAATATATACACCAGCCACCGGGTAGGAGTAAATTCAATATTACAATTGCCTAAGAACTAACTATTAACGTACTCGATACTCAAATACATATTTTTAACATAATTTACAAAACAACATATTTTTACTAAAAAGATATATACTTCACTATTTTTATCTTAATCACCTATTCTATTTATCCTTTTTTCTATTATTATTTATTTTAATGACTAAATTGACGACATGCATTTTGAATTCCTTATTCCAAACTAGAATTTTTTTGGAGTACTTTGATACATACAAATTTGAATGGAGTGGTACTGAGACCCTACAAAATGTTGGTACACAAAAATAATTCTGAACCCAGAAGTTAACATACAATTTTATTATAAAATACATCCATAAAAATAAAAAAGTTACTTATGTTAAGTTTAGCAACTTTTAGTTACTAATATATTATCAAATATAATTTATCGAAAACCTGAAAACCTAAATTATCTATGTCATTCCCTTCCTTTAATCATCTTTACGACTTTACTTATAAATAAAGAGCGGATTTTAATACACTATAAAAAGTGTAAAAATTATTGTGAATTTCAATTCAATTTCAATTCAACTTTATTTTTAAATTCCATTCAATACATCTTACAAGGTACCTATTGAATTTCATTTTCAAGTTATTGACGGAGCGAAAACATTTTTAACGACATTAGTTCAAAAATACTAACAATAATCGAAAATTTCATATGTCTATAAATATTTTAATACTAGTTAAAATATTTTGAAAATTGTATGGTGCATAGTAAATGCACATTTAAACATTTTGTAAAAATGTCATGTATTTAAGGTATTTTTTTAGAGTTACACCAAAAACCAAAATCAATTTATTAAGAATCGGTTTTACGTAAAAATTACCGTTTTCCCTTAATTTTTTGTTTTTTTCCTGTCACTTTTGAAAACTATTAGAAATTTTTTACTTTGAAATTTGACTAGATTCACTTTCCTACCAGCTGTTGAAGAAAATCAAAGCATTTTTACTCCCCCAAAAGGAGATGACAAACAAAATTAAAATTAAAAATACACGCATTTCATTGTAAAATCAACACATTCATCACGCTCCGCTCAAAATCTAAAACTTAAAATTGTGTACTATGTTAAAAAGTTATAATTTAATCTTATTAAAATGAATAATCCCTTAGTGCCTACAAAACGTATTAGGTATATTGAATTGTACATTTGACAAAATTGAAAATATAATTTTATAGATTTTCACTTCGTTATGCAATAGGTACATTTTGAATTTTGTCAAAATATACAGAAATATGCAGTAATATGAAGAAAAAAATAGCCATTCTTCAAACTATTACGTAGAATGTGTATACGTTACTGATAAAAATCCCAAAAATGTGAAAAGGAAAATTATGTAATTCCATAGAACATCACGCGATACTTATAAGATAAGTATGAATTTGATACTTTGATTACAGTCCCGTGTGTATAATAACATACTTCACGAATATTTATGTTGTGAATTTTTGGGCTTTACGTGTCATGTAGAAGGTATGTAATCCGTTAATCGCAAACAATACAGGTAATTTCCTACGATAAATTTCTAGTTATGATGTATATCTGTGAATTAAATGTTCTTATTAATCGAAATTCTCTGTATTATTATCGTTGAATAATGAACGTAGGTAGAAGTGTACAACACTATTTATGTCTATATAGGAACTTACCAGATGCTGTCTTTATAGTTAGCCCTGTTAATGTGCTGTGTTATTAACAAATAACAATATAAAGATGATTTATCAATGTACATTAACATTAGTCATTTCTCAGTCCTCATCTTTTGTCCTAATGGATTCGTTCAAATTCTGATTTCTGGAATTTTTAAGTATACTTTAGAGCCATATTTTCAATTATTTAGATTATTAATTGTACCATGATTAAGGATATATTATTAAACTGTCAACATACAGATTTTTTCAATTGAAACCAAACTTTTTTTACTACAATTTTTAGTTGTAAGCAGATATTTTTTTATTGCCGGTACATTAAAATTAAAATTTGAACAAATTATATCATTTTTATAAATTATATATTGATTTACTAATATTAATAACTATAATTTTAAATATGTGTGTTTTGAAGTCATGTTAACATTTGTTTTTTAGGGTGAGTCTAATTTTCAAATAACCAACGGCTTATTTGCCCCTATATATTTTCAAATACCCTGCTAAACGTCTGAATTTATTAGATTGGACAAAATAATAAAAAATTGTAATCAATTATCATGTCCCCTCCATTGAAAATTCCTGTGTTCTCTACTGTAGGTGTCTAACTATTATTTGTCAATATGTACAGAGTGGGCCATGGGCCACTGGAAAAGCGACAAAAATAGAGTTATGTCTATATATGTTTGGCCCTATACCCGTGACCCACTCTGTATAAGTAGGTATCAAACTAAGAATTTACTTTTAGTTAATCTATAACAAGACTATTATTAAGGTCACAGTGTTATATGTATAAAGTATATATTTTTATGCTTAAAAAGACCTCGTCAAATGGTATTATCGGTTATCCATTTTTAGTTACACAAATATAGGTAATAACTAATAACTAATATAATTACAAATAGTATTATGAACCTGTTATCTTTAATTCTGATAAAGAATACAATTATTGTAATTCATCATACGATTTTATATTATACTTTTTATTTATTAATGAAACAAAACTCCACTAGTTTATGATGTAACTCATATATAGGTACATACATATAAATGCAAATAATTGTATAATTATATTATCGGCTATAGTTGTTGGTGTAAAAAATATGTAAAAAAAAATATATCGTTATAACACTGTGGTAGATGTACATTGTACAATATATTGTAATACCTACTTTAAAATCGATTACATAAAAAAGATACAACCAGAACGATGAACCCAACAATAGAACTAGATACCTGTAAGAATAAAAATGAATTATGTTTATAAAGTTTCTCAATTAATATTCTATAAATATCATAATTATCAGTCGTTAAATCACTTTAAATTAGATAATTTATATAGGTATCTGAAGATGTGTAAAAATGTAAAATTATCATAAACTCTAATACCTATACAACTTACCTTGATGTTAAAGCATTATAACATCATTGATTTTTAATTATTGTTTATTATAAATGCAATGCTAGTACAAATTAGTGTATATGTACAAATGTACAATAATGTAATATTTGCAAATAAAATTAATTTATAAGAACTTTTGAATTCATGACTTTTTAAAACCAACAATTAAAAATATGCTATACCGATTATTATCAGCGGTAAAACATATTTATGAAAAACAAACAAAACGGCATTAAAAAATGGTTTATATAGTTTTTCTATAGAAACGTTGACATGCGTTCGACTCACTCAAATAGTAAAATAATACATATATTATGTTGTTATTCATCCATGAAAATCATAATGGTATTCATGAGCATTAATTGTAAGTGTATCAAATCCACTTTTTAATTATTAGATATTTTAACTTATATTTATGTTACTCTAATGGAGAAGTTGTCGAATCGAATCAAAGATAAATTTAAAAGAAATATTTTACTATTTTATTTAATTTGTATTACTATTGGACTATGAAATTAAGTTTTAAAATATTTAACTGTTGACATTACACATAAGATTAAGTTATAATTTATGAATTTATTTAGATGATGATTAACAGTGAAATTTTGTTGTAAAACTTACAGAATATAAAAACTTTTTATTAACGTCGAAGCAATCATTCGCTGATATATTTACTTCTGTAGCATTCAGTTCATTCAAAAACAAATAAACCTGTGAAAAAAAATTAATTAATTTTACACTATCAATATTTGAATTAATTAGCAAACCTCGGTAAATAATAGTAATTGTTTTTATAATTATTATAACAACATGCTTTGGTCTCATAAATGACTAAATAACCATGATTCGTTTGGATAAATTATAAATAATGTAGGTATACATTTTTAATTTAATTTGTCAATTTTTCAAAATAAAACTTATTCATTTTTTATCTGTAATATGAAATTATATTATTATCTAAGTAAAAAATATTTAAATTTAAAAATATTCAAACTAAATTTTAAGTTTTCGGGGGGTTAAATTGGAAAAAGTGGACTGACTGATCTCAAGAAGACATAATGACAAATTCAAATCAGTTTTTAAAAGTACATGGCAAACTAGGTCGATCAGCATAATGGACAAAAGATTGGTGTGTTTTGGCTAAAATAACTGTCCACTACCGTTCCGCTTAACTTAAATTACCTTATCCTTAAGTACACGTCATTACTCAACCTAACAAAACTACTGATAACTGATATGCGAGCGAAGTTGTGGCAAATGAGAAATAAATAGCTAGAGTAGTAGTATATCGTATATACCTATAGTGTTTAGCGTTTAGCTTGAATAAAAAATATTATAGCTATATTGCTTGAAGATATTATACTTCCTTGTTTTCACTAATATTATTCACACGTGCAACAGACAAAAATAACAAACCAAGAAGTATGGCTTGCACAAAGATTTAATAAGTCACCTTAGTCACCTGTTCTTTGGTTTGGTGCTTCAGACAATTCACTCTATTGCGTAATATATGATGAAATGTAAAAACGCTCTAAACAAGTAAATAATCAAATTTAATATTAAGAACATGTACTCACTTGTTTAGATTCTAAGCTCACAATATAACATCAAGTAAAATATATTTATAAATGTTATGGATCTGTTTTATATCTGTAATCATTATTTTGAGTAGAAGAAGTCCTCCATCGTCTCATACCTACTTTAATTCTCACCCTATTTTCGGTGTCAAATGTTCTTATTTTCATATAATTTATGTAAAGCCAACCAACGACAAAACGCTCCAATTTAGGTAATTTAAAAGTATCAAATTTAGAGTACTGAAACTCTCAACAATTATTTATGATACATTAGGTGTATAGTTAACTAATAACTGCACTCAATAGTCATATAGAATATAGATTAAAGACTAAAGTAAATAATACTTTACATAATACATTACCTTGTTGTGTAAATATGAACTTGATTCTATTAAGTAAATAAAAACCACAGATAATCTTGTCATACGTATTATTCTGATAAGTACTTTCAAGCTTACAAAGTTGTAAATAAAACTAAAACATAATTTACTATTAATATCGGTGGTCGAGTTGGGGGGGGGGNGGGGGGGGGGGGGGTGTATAATTTAATAGGTACCTATGGACAGTAAGAGTTGTACATCAATGTATTTTAATTTTTAATAGATATTTACTATAAATGGTGAAATTTTACGTACCTACGTTTTCCCAGCCCTTTCCCTCTCATCCCACTTGGATGATTTTTTTTCACAGATTTGTCTGGTGAAAATCAGAATATTATACTTAAACATTTGATCAAAATTCGTTTAATATTATTTTGTTTATTTTTTAAAAGTGACAAACGAAAATTATTTCGCTAATTTTTCGTTTATTTGTGGATTTGAGAATTTACTTTATCCCGAAAGCATATTTTTCATGCTTTAATAAAATATTTGGTTGTATTGGATGCATGTAAGCGTTCAGAATTAACTTTTGTTAATTTATTCTTTTTAATCAAGGATATTACACAATTGTTACAGTATTATCCACCGATTTACGCCATACATAGGTACAGGCACGTATACAGGGGTGGGGGGGGGAGGGCGAAAATTAATAGTTGTGTAATTTATTTATATCAATCATCGATAACTACAATAACTGGTCGGTGACAATTTGTTTCCCCTCTCCCAAAAAAAATTTTTTTTTGTGAACGTGCTTGCATTTGCATAGGTACCTAGCTAAGGTCTATAAAACAGTACAAAGACTGGATTCGTCAACGAATCAATTGTTATGAAAACATTCATTAATTATTGCCGAGTGCGACCGAAAGAATTGTACAACTGCGACGTGTAGGTAGTAGGTACTTTTAAAGATTTGAATAGTTTAAATTCATTTTAAATACAAAAAAAAGTTAAATCTGTGCACATTATATTTCAGAAGCGATTACCAATCGAGGGTAGTCGGGTCGCAGACAAAATCGCATGCAATTACTCGCCAATTAGTGACTCAGACAACTACCTATAGTAAATAGCAGTGATATAATTATATTCATTATTAACACGGATATGTATATTAAACCGTGGTTATTAGTAGTTAGTACATTATATGGTGCTGGTCAGTGAGTAAGTTTTACAATTTACTTTTCCGTCGCAATGCTCGTGGCCAGGTTATTCATGAGCTTAAACAGCACCAACAACACGTACAATTGGTAGCACGAAAAGAGTACGATCAAGTCCATGTTGTAGTGCGAGTTGAACTTTTTGCAAAACGTGTACAACACGAGATTCCGTTGTCGGGCTTGACGTGTCCGTTCCAAGTCGTCGATTAAGCCCGACTCGACGTAGCCGTTCAAATCGCTGTACAACCGACCAATCACGTGGAAAGTGTGAATAAATTGCATTTCGAAACCCAAAAACGCATACGTAGTGATGTTGTCCAAGTTCATGGGCTTGTTTTTTGTGTGCCTATATTTACAAAACATTTCGAATGCTATGAATAATCATATTATAATTACATGGGTAAAAATGACTAATATGTAAACCTACATATATACTATATATATTAATAATATAATATGCGATGTAGGTAGGTTAACGTGCAATGGATAGCAATTTCCGAACATTGGGATATTTCCGACTCCCGGGATGATAGATCCCTTGTTTTTCTTCCAGTGAAAAATAATCATAATAAAACAAAATACCCAATTTCATTTTCATTTTTCATGCCAATTAACTGCATAGAGTTTGCATTTTTCTTGGAGCGGTGCGTAACCCCGGAAATTGGAAACTACGTCTCTCCGTTCATATTTGTTTTTTATTTTATTTTTCAATAATCGTCGAGTCATCAACCGCAGAAAACTCGTTATCGTGGTGTAGGTTTTTAATTCACACTTCACAATGTGTTTATTTGTGTCATATATTGTATCATTAATATTGTCATTATTCTTCAATTTTTTTCAACGTCTCCCCGACCCTAAGACTCACGTCTCACACAGTCACCCACAGTCATCAGAAAAAAGTACACGTGACAAAGTATAACTCTGTAGACTGTAGTCTCATTTACGACGCCATGTCATCATTGATAAAATGCGTTAAAAAAATAAGATGTCGACGTCGGTAAAATTAAAATCCCAATGGTATTTCTGAACTTTCATGGCTGTACCTAAGTATGTCAATATCAAAGTACCAACGACAGTTTTTTTAAATTTCAGTATTTCACTATATTGACCACAATCATGGAAATAAAATAACAAAGAAAGAATTTTATATTTTATTATTTATTAAAAAGTCCAAATTATTAAAAAAATATTTTTTTCGATGGTGCATTGCACCCACCTGCCCGCTTCCTCTTGCCGGGTATCCCTGCTCCTCTACACATATCCAAAAAATAAAAATAATAACGATATGCGACTTAGGTCGTTACCTACACACCTATCGATGTTATCTCCGACGAATTCGATTAGCACTGCCACTGAGCTGGCGTACAGAACTACAATTGACGATTTTCGCACCGACATTTCGATTGGCCATTCGGACAAGCTGTTGTAACATCTAACTGTATCCTTCACAAACGCTATTCTTCTCAGTAACATGCACAACAATCCGATTCCGTTTGTGCTCAACACGATAGACGTGACGGCCGACGTTTTCTTTATAGCTCCAAAAAATAACATCGTTAAATGCGTGTGTATTTGTAGTCCAACAATCAAGATGTGTACGAAAGTTAATAACAGGCCACATTTTGACATTGAGAACGAGCTATTATTTTTATCATATACAATAGGAAATGCACCAAACCAATTGCACACCAAAAATGCAGAACTGTAAAAAGAAAAGGTTTTATAAAAATTATTTAACTAGGAACTATTACTAAATAGGTATTATATGAGTATTGTCTATATTTCTGATAGTGATGCTATGCAATTTTCAAATTTAAATAAGGTAGATGCAACACTTAACTGTAAGTTCATTTCTTAGTTCAAACAAAACAGGCGATTTTATATGTAAGTAAAGTTTATTTCAAAAAACATTAATACTGCTACGTTGAACATAAAATGGGTAATGGAGACATTTTCATGACTACAATATGCAGGTACACTATGAATAATTTAACAGTTAAAAAGTAATCTATTCATGAATGGTAACTATTGTCTATTGGACAAATACATTTCTAATAACTATTAAAAACACAATTCACTCACACACAAAAAAAAAAAACAACAAATACATAGGTATAAATTAAGTATTTTTGACTAAAATAAAATAAACAAAATAAGTTAATTTCTGGATCGAGTGTTTATAATATCAAGTAAATTATTACTAAAATAATTCATTTATGACTAAAGAGTACATATTTTATATACTATACATCATGACAAAGATGATATATATATACAACAGTACTTAATAACAATGAAACTACATTAATAATGCATTTATCATGACAACATAATAAAAAATAACCACACCTCAATACCGTAAGAAATTAAACATTTAAATTGAACAGTCTTTTAATTTTTACCCTTATCATAGTTACAAATCCCACATAACGGCTGTAATATACAGAATATGCTACTTATCAAAAGGATCAATAAATATTATTTCAACTTTACAATTACATACAATAATAAAAAAAATCAATAAAATAAAATCAGTTCAATTGATTTTCTTTTAAGGTTGGAACACAATGTTTACAACAAAAAATATGTTTGTTTTAAACAATTTAAACATGTTACAACCCTGAACTTAATAAATACAATTTTTATTACATACACAATTAACTTAGTATTGTAATAGACTAGAAAAATTTAAAGTAATGTACACAAAAATAACCACATACACAGCATTACCTAACGGCCTACAACAAGCAAAACATTCAATGTCTCTAACCAAATTCTATCTTATCAGAATTAACTACACTTGAGTGAATGTTCAGCTATTCAATAACACGTAATTTACATAAGTAAGCATAAACACAATACAATATATAAAAAAAAATAGTAATAAATTTGAACAATAATAATAATTTATCTATTCATTAATGGGCTACATAAATGTAAAATAATAGTCTTAACTTTTATTATAAAATATTAATAATACAATCATATTATTGATTTAAAATATTAGGTATTAATAAATAATAATTTCATTTTTAACAAACTGTTAATTGAAAACATGAACAAATCCTTTGCTTCAGTGGTCTTAAAAAAAAATAATAACATGTAAACAAGAATAAAGTACTTATCGATTATGTATAACTAGGGCTTAGAATTTCTATTATGCATTATGCCGTACTTTTAACTATTTGATCAGTAACTTATGTTCAAGAATTACTTCATATTGATGTACACAATCTAGATTTACTTAGCATTATTCAATTATAATGCATATTATTGCATATTTGAGACATAAATTAATTATTTATTATATAAAATTAAAAATATTTAATTATGGTTTATTTTAAAGAAAGTGATGTTAAAGGTATGATTATGTCATGATTTCAATTTCATAAAATCATTAATTATGAATTTAATGAAAAAAAACATTAACATGAATTTATGTTCATGAACTTAAATTCTGTTGGTTTATTTATAAGAGTAACAAAAATAATTTAAATTACATAAACAGTAACTTTATTCAATTTGCCATGAAATTATAAAATATTTTCACTTACTGATAGTTTGGAAAATATTGGTCAATTTTAATATATTTAACATAGAAATTTTGAGCATAAATAAATCAACTATACTCTTATCAAAATAAGATCATTACCCGGCGGCGACAAGTTTTTGTCGAATGGCGGTCAGACACTTCCCCTCCCCTACCAAGTCATCGAGCAAGACCAGTGCTTTGGAAAAATCAGCCATCAGGTAATGATCTAATTTTGAACAGAGTATAGGAGGCATATCTTACTATTGCATATTTAATGTTAATTCTAGCCCTAGTTACAACTATCTGAAGATAAATTGTATCATGTATTGGCTACATATTTTATATTTAAATTCCCAAAATATGTAAACAAGTCAAGTAAACCTTAATTTGAATAAAAATACATTGCTTCTATAAATTAATAATATTCTAAGTAATATGATCAATTATGTATAATTTCAACAATTAAGAAGTTTAGTTTATATTTGTATAAATCAAAAGTTTAATAAATAAATAATAAAAAGTGTGACTAGGTTTTTTTTAAAATCTAATTCTTACTATTAAACAGACAAATACATTATAAAAACTATACATACCTCGTTCAAAATTTTTTCAGATTAATATGTTAATACAATTAGAAATAAAAATTGGGTATTAACGAAAAAGAATAACTACACAACATAAATTCAATTGTTTCAAAATTTGTTTGTATAAATTTAATTTAATAATGGATTTTTTAATAGTTAAATAATTTTACATATTGCAAAAAGTGCAATTTAAAATGTAAAAATGGAAAATTTTAATTTAATAAATAATTAACAAAATTAAAACCATAAATTAATTAAGTTTAAATTTTTTTTTCATTCATTTTAAAGAATGGATGTTTCAATGCAATATCTGCTGTTATTCGAGTCACTGGATTCAAACATAACAATTTTTTAAGGAGATCATACGCAGGATAAGGAAAATCATCAGCAACATTTAAGTAACAGCTACAACTATCTGAAAAAACTTCACAGCCAGATAGTCGTATTGGTTTTGTACAAAAACTACAAGTTTCCAAACCATCACTTGAAGAAACAGCCGTTGGATTTAAGGTCTGTACACTTGATCGATGGCATAAAAGACGACAAATTGCCCGAAGATCAAGTGGAGGTTTTTGAACTTCACAAATAACATTACGACCTGATATAAAAAAGATCATGAGATAATTAGAAAAAATAATAAGTAATATACATTATAAATATGAACACTAACCTAACATTTTGGCTAAATTTTTAATGGCTCTATCCCCAAAAACAGTTATCATTTCAGCCAAACATGTAGAATCATTCTCTGCACTAAAGAAAGGGAAACAGCGGCTCATAGCTTCTAACATAATGACTCCAACTGACCAGATATCAAGAGCTATAAACACATATCAAATAGTTAAACATATATTTTAAATATTATACACAAAAGTATAAAACACATTTATTGGATCAAAAATTATTTATATTGACATTTTCTTCATCACTTACCAGTATTTTGATATTTGTATTTTAAAAGGACTTCAGGAGCTCGAAACCCTGGTGTCCCTGCTCGAGGAGCCTTCATTTCTGGTCTTTTTATACAAACATTGCAAACTTTTAATTTTCCTACACAATCACATGTAAGACGTTGCACTTTAGGAACAGCAAAACTATTTTTCTCCTATTTAAAAAAACACAACACATGAATTTAACAAAAAAATATACATTACTCTTCAAAGTTATCTGAGTTAGCAATATACTAACATGGAATAAACTATTCATGGCATTTGGATTACTAGAATTAATATTTTTAGGAACATCTAATTGTTTTTTTATCGGTGAATTTTCCTTTAGTAATGGTTCTTTAGGCATCATTAGTTTGGTTCTTTTCCTTAAATTACATCCATGAGGTATAGAGTTGGTGTCATCTGCTATGTTTTGAAGGATACGTTTTTGATAAGAACTTAATCGTATGGTTCCAACTGAACTCGATCGTTGATGGTTAACCTAAGACAATTTAAAAAAAAAATTAGTTTTAATTACATTATAAATGGTATATAATTAACACCGATATAAAAATTCATTACTTTGAGGTCACAGCTTGAACTTTTTTGTTTGTATGAGGACGTATCAGACTTATTATCAGTCAAATTTTTTATTTCCTTACGCCTAGTGGGGTTAATGTTAGGATGAGCAAGTCCAAAATCAGTGAGCATGAAACTAGGAAATTCAAAGTCACAATCACAAATATGATTACATTGCAAAATTATATAAATAAAAATGTTAATACTTACGTTGAAGTTGAACGATTATACAAAAAATTGCTAGGTTTCACATCTCTGTGAACAATATTGAAAGAATGTATCCTTTTTAATGCAATTAATAGGTTTTTAATGTACAATCGCATTTCATTAGCATCCATTGTACATAAATAAGTCTGAAAAACCACAAATACTTAATTACTCATAAATAAGGTATAGAATTTTAAACCAATATTAGGATTTTGTTTAATTTAATTTATTCATTAATACATGCATAGGTATACTATAATACAATATATAAAACTAATTATTTACCAATGGATGGTCATGCTTGATATAAGGCATCACCAAACAAACAGAACTTCCAATTCGTAATGAGGTTACTAATCCCATAACATTATCTTGTCCCCTAGAAAAGTATTGAAAACGTATTAACTTCATGATTAAAATAAATATAAAAACATTAAGTTTGGTCAATAATTGAATTTCAAGGTAAAATTAATGTGTAAGGCCAATGATCAGATAGATTTTAATTTAACTCTTAATCAGGTCATATGAATATAATTAACATAATATCTAACAGAAAACTATAACTCAGGTGTCAGTGATATACTGTGATACTGTGATAGAAACATCTTTATTATGTCTCTAATCCACAGCTCACAGCAAACAATGAGTGCCCGCCTTTATATAGGTCTGTACAACTGTATAAAAAATATTCTCTTTTCTCTCACCCGATCTTCAGTAGACAAAAAATTTCGCGGCGTAACTTCTCAGGGTGTGTCGTTTGCTTGATATGCTTGATGGCATACCGTTTCTTCTCGGCGTCGCCCCTCGCGTAGGCCAGATACACCTTGCTAAACGTGCCGGCACCGATTTTGCTTTGAATGACAAACGTCTCGCGCAATTTCCTGAATGACTCATCTTTCATCGGGATCTCTGCAAACATGTCGAAAATTTAAAAAACGTCTTCGTACGAGCAGATAAAACACTGTACGCCGTCTCTACACACTTTGTTCGGACGTCTCGCCGGCAAAACTCTTGTTGTTGCTGCTGCTGGTTACAAGTGCAACTGAATTCTCTGCCATCATAGTGCAGTCGGAACTCGGAAGTGGATGCGTGCGAAGGAGCGAGCGGGTGTGTACGTGAGCGTGTGCGTCAGCGCTACTGATCTCTACAGTAGTAGAGAAAACTGCACCAAGTATGAGACTAGACACGATAATTCGCCGACGATTTGTTTAGAGCGCGAAAAAAACGGTTCCCGTACGAGACTGATAAAAATCGAGTTTTGGCTCCGAAAAAATATCGTCGAAAAGGCGGCCAGGAAAATGTA